CCCCCCAGAAGTCCTAAACCTAGAGAGTTTTAAAACTTTCCTATAGGTGTGTTCACAGTCAGTAATCACTGTCTTATATTTTGTTCTTAGAAGAAGGGGCATAAAACAAAAATCAGTCACAAGGCAAGACTATATTATGGGTGAGCTAGCAGAGATGGAGACTATATTGGGGCAAGAAGGAGCAAATGTATAAACATCCTATGCAGATGGAGCTTTCACAGAAGGCTGTTTACTGAAATGATTGAAGAAGGACATATGTATGAAGGAGCCCAGAAAGCCTGTGGCAATGGCATCATTTAAATGAGCACATCAGATAGAGCTAAGGGCAGAATACTCCAAGCAGAGGGAACTGTGGAAAAAGCATAGAGAGCATGCATACATGAAGCAGAGACCAAGGTAGTGGTAGGAGTGGTGAGAGAAGTAGGTCCTTAAGGGTTCCTTATTCACAGGCAGACGAAGAAGAAGAGGAGGAAGAGGAGGAGGAGAATAGGAGAAAAAGAAGAGGAGGAGGAGGAGGAGGAGGAGAAGAAGTGCTTTGCTTTTTACTCTTGAGGGCAAGGCCAGGGTTACCCATGAGAGTGGTATTGTCATCACTGAGGCACACAGGAGGATGGTGGCCAGAGAGTAAGGGGATAGTGGGTGATGGCGGGGATAGAGAAAGGGCTAGAAGAGAAAGTCTTGAAGCTTTAGATCCAGGAGACCTGGGACAGTAAGAAAGGCTTCAATTTTCCTCGCCTGTGCTTTTGCTCTGTTGCTAAATCATGAATCTGAGCCAACCCCAAAGGGAACCTGTAGAGTAAATTGAAGTGGGAGGAGGTAAGTGAATAGAACTAAGGAGTAGGATGGATGGAGCCCTGCATCCAGCGTTTACTTGCTAGTGGCTCTTCAAGTGGTCCCCATCACAGCAAGCGGCAGGGTAACCCAGGATGTGTGTCTTAAATCAAGAAAGTGTAGGCCTCAAGAAGGAAATCAGGCTAATGGACACCTGCTGTGGGTTTTGTAGACAACTAAGGTATGTAAGTGGAGGGGAGTCCAATAGTCAGAAACCATGAGTCGACTTCCTGTAAGCCACTAAAATTGGGTTCCCTCTCTGTCTCTCTCTCTCTCTCTCTCTCTCTCTCTTCCCAAAGGGATAGAACTCAGTGCAAGGCCTTGGCCATAGTGATAAATGTCACATAGAAATGAGTCTATCTTCCAGTGAGCCCCTTGTGTTCTGCAAAGAGGGTACTGCTGTGGCGGTTATAAAGATAAGTCATTGCAACGCTCCAAATATCCTATTTTATGAGTAGGAATTCTGGAAAATAGAGAAATTCATGAAGAATAAAATACAAACTCAGGGTCTAATGGTGAGGTTTAGTAGTAAGACATTGACTTAGCATGAATGAGGCCCTAGGTTGAATCCTGCACACACACACACACACACACACACACACACACACACACACACACAAAGTCAACAACAAAAACCCTGAAATTCTGCTACCCAGTGGTAATAATAGCTCCTATTTTTTTTTATTTTAAAAGTGAGAGCTACATTTTACATTTCATTTTTTTTGCTCTTAAAATTAACCTAGCCTAGTTTGGCCAGCAAAATGGCTCAGTGAGTAAAGGCTCTTGCTGCTAAACCTAATAACGAGTTCAGTTCCCAGAACCACATGATAGAAAGAGAGAACCAACTCCTGAGCACTGTCCTCTGATATTTGACTCTGTACATATGACTTGGCATACGTGAGAAAACACCTGGTTAGGCATGATGAGTAATAGCACTCACTTAGCTGAGGCAAAGAGATTTTAATTTCAAGACCAGTCTATGGTACAGACTGAGATCCTGTCTCAAAAAAATAAGATAAAATGAGAAAGAGAGAGAGAGTAAAAGAAATGAAGGAGGAAAGAAAGGAAGAGACAATAGAGTGGGGGAAAACTTTTGTAATAATTTTCAAAGTCATATCCTATTATTTAAAAATATAAACTTAAAGGTTCAATAGCATTCCATTTATAGAGGTAACAACACATTTAAGCATTTTCCAGTTGTGGAACCTAATTTCTTTAAAGTTTGACACTTTATTATTAAATTATTATAAACTTCTAGTGGAAGAGTTGGATCCATTTATAATCATTATCACACTATGTTTGCTGATTTATTATTATTATTATTATCATTATTATTATTATTATTATTGAGGCAGGGTTTCTCTGTGTAGCCTTGGCTGTCCTAAAACTCACTCTATAGACCAGGCTGGCCTCAAACTAAGATCTGCCTGCCTCTGCCTCCTGAGTGCTGGAAGTAAAGGTGGGTACCACCACCTATTGGCTATTGGTCATTTTATGTTCTTGCTGTTTGATTGTTGCATTCTGATCTCTTATAATACAAAATATAATTGCTTCTCTCTCAAATAATTACAGGTTTTAAGTTCCCATTTTACTCTGCTAATAATTAAATTTTTGAAAAATTGTTCATTTCCTTCATCAGCATCATGAATGAAATGTTATCTTTGATATCACCCTGTGGAGTTCAAACTTTTAACACATTAGCATTCCATTTTATATTGTTATAACTGAATAGCACCCAGTGAGTAATATATAAAGCACAGGCATGTGTTCAGCTCATCAATCTGAAGGCTGAACAGTCTGAGAGTATGATGCCTGTATAGGCTACTTTTCCCATTGCTACGACTAATACTTGACAAGGGCAACTTAAGGAAAGAAGATTTTGGCTCACAGCTTTAGGGTACAATGCTTCCTGGCAAAGAAGTAATGGCACAATGCTGCTGTTTTCCCTACTACCACCAAAACTCTCATATCTGTTTGCACACACCCACACACACACACAGTTGCATGTTCACAATTTATTTATACACATGTATGTTGAGGCCAAGAAGTCAACATTGTGTCTTACTCGATTGCGCTCTACCTTATTATAAAAAAAAATAAAAAACATTTAATTTTATTTTATGTCAAGGAGAGTTTTGTCCACATGTATATCTGTATGTACAAGCCTGGTGCCCATGAAGGCCATAGAGGGTGTTGGATCTCCTGGATCAGGAGTTACTGATAGTTGTTAGCTGTCATTTAGGTGCTGGGAGTTGAACCCATATTGTTTGCAAGACCTTTAAGTACTCTTTAACCACTGAGTCTTATCTCTAGCCCTTTTGAGACTGAACTCACCAATTCTGCCAGACTGACTGGCCAGCAAGCCCCAAGGACTTACTGTCTCTGACTCCTTAGTGCTGGAATGGAAAGCATAATCAGTTTTTTTCTGTGGGTGTTGGGAATCAAAAATCAGGTCTTTACATGTATAGGGCAAGCCTTTTACAAACTGAAAGTCTCCCAACCCTTCGTTGCTCTGTTAGTTCAGTCCAGAACCCTAGTCCTTTGAATGTTACCATATTTAAGGTAAGTCCTCCCTTTTCATTTAAATATTCTTGGAAACATCGTCACTGACAGATCCAGAGGTATGTCCCTATGGTGATTCTGAATCTTCTCACCTTAACAATGAAGCTTGCACATCAGAGTCCCAGTATCTGCTCTGCTTTATCCGTGTTGTAACACAACAATGGAAACATAGGAGCTCTGTCTAGAAAACATTTTAATCCAAAGCCACTCCATCTATATGTTCCATGAATTCATTGATCCAGAGCCATCATGACCCCATCATCTTTCACATGTCCCACCTTAATTCATATTCCAACACATGAAACTTGAGGAATACCTACAAATCACAGCATGCTTTTCCTTCTTGCTCCTTTCCTTACCCTATTCTACATAGCACATCTTTAAGATATAATCTGGGACTCCATATGTGATTATTTTACCATTGGTATCATGTTTCCCTTGTCATGAGTTCCTTTTCTCTTTTACATTATTTGTCCAGTGAAAGCAACAGCATTATTTTTGCCCTTCATTGTTTTGCTTATTGATTTACTATTGATACTTATTTTATAACACAATTTCGTACTTGTGTTCTTTCTTCTGATCCCATGCTGCAGCTCATCAACAAGTAGTTGAAGAACAGAAAATAAAAGACTCGATATCTGAGACTGTCTTTCCTCTCAATGGGCAGTCATTTCATTTGCTCAAAATCTGTAGATTTTTTTTCTATTGTTTTCAGATATTTAATTCTATGATGGAGAATGTTTTTGACTGATTTTATTAATTCTTAGGTACCCTGGGCACTTCAAGTATCGCAGAAATATATGTGATGTTCCGTAATCTCACACTATCAGAAATTGTCTTACAAATTTCATTATTGCACACACTTCAACTGTTGTGTCTGTGGTGTTCTATGCCCCTCAGTTCTGATAGAGTAAAGGCTTAAGCTCTATGGCCATGCCTTCTCTCTGTTCTTATGATGTCCACCCCTTGATCCTTTTTTCTGTGAGCTTAATTTATCATTATGACTGTGCTGTACTTTATCCTCCTGAACTGTGTAACTGTGCGTTGGGACAGTGATATGCAAGTGTTCGCTGGGCAGTGCTAAAAATGTTCCCATTCCCCCTTGAGACCAGGCCTTGAGTTTCCACCTGACCTCAAACAGTAGTCAAGTAAGTAGGCCCTGTCACAGAGACAAGCTGACCATGGGACTCCCTAGGCCTACTTTGGTTACTGTTTGACATTTTGTGTAAAAGAGAAAAAGAGAGATACAGAGACAAAGACAGAGAGACAGAGACAGTGACAGAGACAGAGACATAGAGAAAGAGATTATTTTATAACCTCTGATGCTTGGTCTAGTATTCCAATAGACAGACAGAGGGACAGAAGGGGAGAAAAGAAGGATGGATAGATGGATGAATAAATGAATCAAAAAGTGGTCAGAGAGATAGGTGGGCTGATATATGGTGAGAGGAATTGTAGAAGGATGGGTGTGTGAAAGGAGGAAGGAGGGGGTAGAAGGGTGGCCAGAAGAGGCTGGTTGGGGAAAGGAGGGTGACAGAAGCACAGTTGCAGAGACATGAATCTCATATCTCCTCACTGACCTGATGCTGAGGTCTGGCCTCCCACAGGGAGTTTCCTGGTCCCCTGGTCATGCTCATTGTAGAGGGGATGCTGCTCTTGTACCTGGAGCTGGCTGTGGGGCAGCGCATGCGGCAAGGCAGCATCGGTGCCTGGAGGTGCCCCTACCTCAGTGGTGTCGGTATGTGGGACCCTTCTCAGATCCTATGACAGAGATTTTGTGGGTTTCTGAGCATCACTGGTATGCATGGGCTGGACCTGTGACTGGATGAACCAACTCCCAAAGAGGGCTACCATGGAGCTCGGGCAGAGAGGGCCCTGGATTCTGGCCCTCACATGGTACCCCATCCCACCCCCAATGAAACTTCCACCTTAGGGCATCTCCACTCTGGACCTCAGCTTGATATTCTCTGACTGGCTGGACATAGCATTCATTTCGTCCCAGCTACCTATCCTCTGGGGATGTACACAAATGCCACCCCCTGCTTAATGTGTGCCTGGTGCTGAACATGGCATGCACGAGTGTGAGGTCATTTCATCTTCACCACACCACTTAGGGGCGTTGGGGCATCATAGTGATACCTGGATGCACAAGCCAAGCATCTATGTGAACATACCAGGTGTGGCCTACTGCACCCTTCCAGAGTGACCTTCAGTCACTGTCCCCTGGCACCTCCATGATGTGATTCTCCTAGTTTGTAAAAGACCAGGATCTAGAGCCATCAGAGTTCATACATGTTCTGTGTACTTTTCATGTCCAAGAAAGGGAAGCAGACAGGAAGCCTGAGCCATTGTTTAGGAATGAGGAAGGGTCCACCTGATGTGACCTCCTGCATCTTTGGAAGAAATATGTCCGGGGTATTAGAACTCATCATCTTCAAACTGCCTCCTCATGGTGAAGAGCTATGAAGGCCATCAGAGTGTGCTGAGGCAGCAATGTATGCTGTATATTGGAAAACAGGGGGAGGCTGCCTGGCCCCTTGGGCACTGACATGCACTTACTGGCCTGAGTTCCCAGTGGAGTGGGAGGAGTTGCTCTGTAATGCTATTGATACCTGTATAGTCTGCCACATGCAAAGTCAACAACTTACAACTCTTCTGGTTATGTGTGGGATGACAAAGGTTGACAACACTCCCAAGTAAACTCACTTTAGAGCAACCTAATGGCAAACTCTCACTTCTCACAGTGATACCCTCTGTGGGACCTCATAGATCAGACCAGGCTGGGGGTAAGTGTTGTCTGTCTGTCACACTCCTGCCACATGGATGGGGCTGGCTCCAGGAACTCCACCTCCAAAAGGAGCAAGTTCACATCAGGCATGTAGTTGGCCCTTCTCCATAGCTCTGCTGGGTAGTTTTGGGAAAGCTCTGAGCTTTAGTTTGCTCTTTGGAAGGAGGATAATGCTTTTGTGTGAACTAACTGCACACAAAATACTGAGCCCAGGACCTGACACTTAGATGTCAAAAAACCAATACTGATCTACCATCTCAGATGATCAGAGTTGAGGGGTAGTAATTCTCAAGAAGATGTCATAGGTGTAGTATCAGGTCTAATGAAAGCCTAAAGGAAGAGTGTTCTTGTTTGGGGATGTCACCATAGTTGTGTCATTCAAGTCCCACTGGTTAAATTACACACATCTGATCTTCAGCATGGCCCTCTGCTTTGCTCACAGGTGTTGCTAGTGTGGTGGTCTCCTCCTTCCTCTCAATGTACTACAACGTCATCAATGCCTGGGGCTTCTGGTATCTCTTCCATTCCTTCCAGGTAAGCCAACCTCTGGCCAGAGCAAAAGCAAAAAGGGTAGAAAATGCAGGGCCACTCACCAAGTGGGGAGCTGGTAGAGGATGAGAACGCCAGCCTGTGGGAACCCTCTCAGTGATGGGGGAGCGTGATGGGAGCCACAAGCCAAGCAGGGATGACAGAATCTGGATCCACTACTTGTCACAATGTAAGCCAAACTATGCACTGTGTGTGTGTGCGTGCACATGCGTGTGTGTTTGCATGTGCGTACACACATGTGCACACTCATTTCTGAGGAGCAGGTCCACAGCACTCATTGGAATATCTACAGGAATATTTTCAATGACAAGCATTTTAAACAGTGCATTATCTAAATTCTTGTTACTGATATTCTGGAAGGGTCTAGGCTTTGGGGAAAATAAATAAATGCCACAATTCCACACTGAGCGCTGGAATGTTCCTCTTCACCAGTCATATTCTATCCCACCCCACCCCCATCTTCATCCTTTTTACTCTCAGAGACTCTAATCCCACTGCCTCCATATCAGCCTCTTTCCAGATGGAAAAAGAAGAGAAGGACTCAGGAATTACCACTCTAATATCCATGCATTCCATACTTCACAAAAATCCCCCCCTTACCTCTGCAGTAAATCCTCTCCCAAGGTCATAGGATAATGACACAGCAGACCTTCACTTGGACGTCTATGGGCCATGCAGGTCCCCGGAACATATAAATCTACACTGGCATGGCCATATACACGACATAAGAGCTTTTGTTCAATCCCACGAGCTACAAGTGACTCTACAGGACTCTACTTTATGGGAGGGTGTCGTCCTTCTTAGCGGGTACCTTTAGCCAAGCAAATGTAAGGACCCTATCTTTACCTTCTGATGCAGATGAAGGGAGAAGAAAACTGAAAATCTCTCAGTTGTTCCATGCCCTAGAGCTTCTTCATGTAGCATGTTCATTGGCAGGAATATTATAAAACAAAAAATAAAAACAAAAACAAACAAACAAACAAAAAAAAAAAACCTGAAGTCAAGCTCATCTCAAGCAAAGGACCCCAGAGGTATCCTCAGATTTGCAGCCAAATATGTGAAACAGTGTGAGTTAGAGTGGCCTCAGCAGAGGGCCCAGAGAATGTTGGCTAGGCAACTGAGCTTAGAGGGCTTCTGTTTCTTAGCTGGGACCTGCTGCTGGTTCCATCAGATACCACAGTGTCTCCCTCCTGTGGCATGTCCATCCAAATGGGCTCACTGTTCAAGATTCTAACTCAAGTACGTTCACAGCTTTGTTTTTAAATTATTTTTAAAGTTTATCTTATTTATTTTATGTATATGGGTGTTTCACCTGAATGTCTATGTACAACATGCATGCCTGGTGCCTGCAGAGGCCAGGAGAGCGTGTCAAATTCCCTGGGACTAGAGTTACAGAAGGGGAGCCATCCTATAGTTACTGGGACTCTAACCTGGGGAAAAACAGCCAGTACCCTTAACTAGTGAGCCATCTCTCCAGCCCTACAACTGGTTTTGAACAGGGTAGCTACAAGGATCTGGAAAGACTAGGCCAGGAAGCCTCTGATCCACTGTACTCTGTTGTTTCGCGCAAGCCAGGCTAGCCCATATTTTCAGGACAAGGTGTGAAGCCTCCTGTCAAAGATGCTTCCTATCATCCCACCAAGCCCTTGGCCTTTCCCTTGACTCTCTGTTGATTCTCACTTCATTCCAAAGGATCCCCTGCTGTGGTCTGTCTGCCCACTGAATGGTAACCGCACAGGCTACGATGAGGAGTATGAAAAGGCTTCGTCAATGCAGTACTTCTGGTGCAGGAAAACACTCAACATCTCACCATCCATCCAGGAGAATGGAGGAGTGCAGTGGGAGCCAGCACTGTGCCTCATCCTGGCCTGGCTGATGGTGTATCTGTGCATCCTGAGGGGCACTGAGTCAACCAGCAAGGTGTGCTAGGGAGTGTGATGGGACTGAATCTGGTCCATGCTAGAGCTGTCTCTTGCTGTCCAGAGTAGAGGCTCAGTGGGTCAGAAGGCATGGATGGTGTTATTGGCATGTCCCTGTACTAGCTGACAGTGGAGGGTGTCAGAAGTGATTAAAGTTGTAGCACTGAATCTGAAATGACAGGCCCCAGCCAGTTCTCACACTCACCTGTACCAGGTCATTTCATGGAGATATTCAAACACCCTGCTATTCAGTCCTTGCACCTCAAATGCCAGAGCTATTATTCTGTGGAGGGAACCTCAACATCAGACTAGCCAGCCTCTGGGGACTTTATTGTGTAGTTGGATTTGGGGTCCCATTTCAAAGTGCTTTCAGGAAATCAATACTACCCAGAACTGTTGGGTTCTCCCTTGTTTTTTGTTTTGTTTTGTTTTGTTTTGTTTTGTTCTGTTGTGTGGTATGGGGTTTTAGTTCTTGTTTTGGCTTTTATTTTTAAAGTGTCTCCTTATGTACTTCAGGCTGGCATGAAACTGGCTGAACGGCCCAAGTTGGCCTCAAACTCAGTGATCCTCCTGACTCAGCCTTCTGAGTGTTGGGATTTTAGGCCACAGATATGCCAAAATACCCAGCAAAGGCCTTTTATTTGCCTAAGCTCGTTCTTTCTGTTGAAATGCCCAGGTTTCCATTCATCCTAGGGCTGGAGTATCTGCTGTATTTCCATCACCCATACCTGTTTCAAGCTGGGGTGAATGCTCCATACTCAGCTATTCAGCAAAGCAAATCCATAGTTGATCACGGTGTCTTATTCTTGTAACAGCCCCTCAGAGTAGATACATGAGGTCACTCCCAAAAGGCTTAGATAGGCAAAGTATTCTTCACAAAATCACAGCCAGGGACTGCACACTCAGGACATAGACCAGATTTACTCCAAGCTCTTCCCATCCTATTGGTGAAATGCAGCATGAATGTTCTCTTCACATCTTTTGTGACTTAGTCATTTACAATTTGTCTTCTTCTGAGAATCCCATGAGACCCCTAGATCTCACTCTTCTGATCACCTGCCTGCCTTCTCCAGTACTGACATGTTTGTTTGCTTTTGTTCTTTCATGAGGCATCAAGCTTAGAACAACCTATGTCATTGAGATATTGCATGACAACACCAATGTTGTGCCTGGCGTGACATTTCACATTGTTTTCTAAGTCCCCATAGTGGCCAGCCCCACATAGTCATCTTAGCCCCACAGCACTTTGCCTCACAGCTGAGCATAAGAATCAGGGTGTTCTTTCTCAGCTGAGCTCAGACCTTGCAGCATCTTCTCTGTCCCAACCTAGACCAAGCATGATCCAAAAGATCTAAGGGCGATGTCTGTACCCTTGAATATTAAAGCAGTCCTTTCCTCTCCAGGCCTCTTATAGTTGTGAAAATAAGTAGAGTCTGGACATTATTCTCCTCTGAAGTTTTACTTACTGGTCAGTGTTATTTCTCCTGATAGGTTAAGCTAAAGCTAGATCACATGTCCAGCCATCCTTCCCACAAGAAAAAGAAGGAAGCCACTTTGTGAGGTCTCTAGAAAGCCCATAAGAAACACGGACCACTGGCGGGGTAGGGGGGGAAGTCCAGAGCTTTCCCCAAATGTCTTCTAAGTGCCCAGTGTAATGGACCGGGATCAGACCTCCACCATGCCCCTGAATTTCTTTCACATCACTGGCAAAAAGACTCTTATCCATTTGCATCTCACCTGGTTTGACATATTAGATATTTGGGTAAATTCACTAACCCCCTAAATGTGTAAGCAGCCATGGTAAACATATATCCCACTTTCTCAGTGTCCTTCTGACAGTCTTAGAAGTTCATGAAGTATGGTGCCATGCCAAGGAAGAAATGGAAGTCTGAGATTAATTCAAGCATATCAAGATATGGGTTACTAGCTGGGTTTCTCAGAGGTGGATCCAACCTAAAAGAAGATTGATAAAACAAAACCAACCTTGTGAAAAGTTTTGTTTCGTTTTGTTTTTGTCTATGAATCTAGGCAAAATCCCTTACAGTTTTATGCCCATGATACATTGTTTTTAAATTTTATTTATTAACATAATATCCGTGCTTGCTTATGAAGGGCCTGATGCTTTGATACAAGTATGAAACACATAGCAGCTAGACCAATGCCACTAACATTTCCTTCTCCTCATACATGAATTATATATACATTTTTTTACTCTTCTAGTTATTTTTATGTATCATGGATTCTTGTAGATTAGAGTTACCTATAGTGCTGGGCAAAGAAGCAATGATTTCTGCTTCTAATTCCTGTATTTTGGTGACTCTTGTCTAACCTCTGTCTTCCCTCGCTGCCTTTCCCATCTTCTTGGAGGTTCATTTACCACTTTCTACAAATGAGTGCAAAAAATGCATTATTTGTCTATGATTTGTTTTATTTACCATGATGCCTGAACTTGTCTATACCTTTACATGTGACAAGATTTCATTCTTTTTATGGCTAAGTAGTATTCCTTTGTGGATACATACCATGTGATTTCTATATGTTCACTTTCCATGGATGGTTTTATATCCTAGATTTTTTTAAAGGAATATCACAGTAAAAATGAGAGTGCTGCTATATCCTTGACACATGGCTTTTAAGATCCCTTTGCAATAATATCTAATTGTGGTTTTTATTTGTATTCCCTTGAAGATTAATGATGCTGAATTTTTGTTCATATATTTGCTGGCTATTTGTGTCTTAACTTTTTAGATGTATTTATTTTATTTGACACATATGAGTATTTTGCTTGCATGTGTATGTGTATGCCACATGTATGTCTGACACTCGCAGGGATAAGAAGAGGGCTATGACAGTGGTTATGAGTTGCCAGGTGGGTGCTGGAAACTGAACCCAGGTCCTCTGCAGGAACAGCAGGCGCTCTTAACCACTGAGCCAACCCTAAAGTCCCCTCATGTCTTTTTAAATAAATGTCTATGTAGCCCATTTCTTTGCCCATTTTTTAAGGTGGACTCTTTGCTCTCCAGTTGTTTGAGCTCTGAATAAAAAGAATTAAGGGAATGAGAGGTATTGGCAATAAAACTGTGAAAATATTAATGAAAGATGTCAAGATGACTCCAGGAAAGGAAAGATACTCTATGGAGCAGAAGATGTCCTAGTTAATTTTCTGTTCCTGTGAAGAGACACTATGTTCTATGTACTCTGTACTCTGTACTATGTACTATGTACTCTGTACTATGCTTATCAAAAAGAAGAATTTAATTGAGACTTTGCTTACAGTTTCTTTGAGTCTATGATTGTGGCAGGAAGTGTGGCAGCAGGCAGGCAGGAAGAATGCCTGCTTATATCTAATCCACAGGCAAGAGGCAGAGGGAGGGGAAGGGTGAATGGAGAAGGAGGAGGAGGTAGGAGATGGGAGAAGAAAGAGAGAGATTGGGTTCAACCTGGGCTCCCTCAGTGGCATACACACTCCCTTCAACAAGGCCACTTCTCCTAACCTTCTAAAATAGTTCTACCCACTGTGAACCAAGGGCTCAAATATATGAGCCTGTGGGGGGCCATTCTCATTCAAACCATCACAGAGTTGGTATTATTATTATTATTATTATTATTATTATTATTATTAAAGTGTACATACTACCCAAGACAGTTTACAGATCCAGTTCAATCCTTACCAATAGTAATATTCATAGAATCAGAAAAAAAATCTTAAAATCTACATGACACTATTGAATAAAAGAACGAAACTGAAGTCATATTAATACCTGATTTTAAGTCTGTCTACAATGTGTCTGGTATTGGCTTGAGAAAAGACAAGGAGACAAGTAGAACATAGTAGAGTACCTGGAAAACCACATATTTCTGTCAAAGACACCACGAGAATACATTGGAAAGCCATCAAATCAATTGCTGATGCTAGAGCCACATCTCACATGCTGTACAAAAGTCCAAAGTATGAAAAGTCTAAGGTGAAACACTTGAAGACTTAGATTTTTGTGTACCTATGTTTTGGGATAAGACCCGAAAACTTGCAACAAAGTAAAAACCAGTAGGATTACATCAAAGAAAGAACTTTCTGTGCAATAAAAGACATAGTCAATATCATGAAGAAAATATTTAGGAACTCACACACACATTCACAGAGTAAGGGGGAGACTTAAATAAATAATATTGTTTTGTTAGCAGTTTTACAAAGTAATGACAATTTTAAAATAGTAAATACATAAAAACCAAATTTAATTATGGCATTTTAATACATAAGTATCATTGCTCCTTATTCTTATTCACCCTCTCTCTATCCTCCCTCTTTACCCCTTCTTTCTGGTATAATTTAGAGGGAAAATACATGTTTGAGGTGTAAGAATAGAGGAATTACTATAAAAGTGCAAAAAGAATAGTCATAAAAAGCTGCTCAAGTACGATGATTGTGGTTGATACATTGTTTATGAACTAATAAAGCAATGAAGATCAGAGAAGCAAAGCATCAAGGCTACCAGAGAGCTCGGTCCTGTACCAGGGCTGGAGAGATATTATCCATAGCAAGCTGGAGACAAATTGCCAAGACTAAATCCTTAATGCCCTGCTCCTATCTTATATATTAGTGCTGGGGTTTAAAGCTGTGAGCTCTGTTTCTCTTTTAGACTGATTCACTTCTCATGTAGCCCTGGATGGCCTTGTAAATCTAACATTAAGTATTTTTGGTTTTTATGTTTTCTTACTCTCTGTTGTTGACTGTGGCCTTCTCTTGTGGCTCACCTTTTAGTTAAACTCTGTAGGGATATGGAAGAGTGTTATCTCTCCCTCCGTCTTTGTTCCAGGGGATTGGGTTTTGATTTAGGAACATGCTTTCTCTCATTCACCTAACTCTGTCAGATAATTTCCTTTGTGAATGTCTTTGCATATCTTCTGTTACATTGCTATTGTAAATAGTGTCTTTCTCCTTATTTCTACGGTTGTTTATGTTGGTGGCAGAAGAAACAAACATTTTTTTATGTTAGTCTTGTACCTTGAAATCTTGATGCATTTCCTAATGAATTCTCACAACTACAGATTGCTTCTGTTTACTCTATAAACTATCCTATAACCTGCGGATATGATTTAGCACATTTCTTTTAAGTGTCTGTATTTCAACCCTTTTTTATTGTGGTTTCACTATTATTACTGATTTTATTGGAGTCTCAGGCACAATTGTTTTCCTGTACTTTGAACACAGTGAAATTCCAAGTGTTAGGTGAACACTCTGACTAGTTCTTTGATTTACTATAAAGGCTTTTTCAGACTGCTTTTAGAGAATACTTTCAAGGCCAGGATAAAGTTTCCATGGCCTTTGCTTATTGGTTAGGTTAGGGAGTAGTTGGTTGGTTTTTTTGTTTGTTTGTTTGTTTGTTTTGTTTTGTTTTGTTTTGTTTTCTGGGGTTTACCATTGTCCACGGAGAGATACAACACTTTCCTCCTTTTGCTTGTTGTTCTAGTTAGAGTAATAATTGCTATGAGGAAAGGCCATGACCCAAAGCAAGTTGGGGAGGAAAGGGTTTATTTGGCTTACACCTCCATCAGGAACTCAAGGTAGATTCCTGTAGATAAGAACTGATGTAGAGGCCACAGAGGGTTGCTGCTTACTGGCTTGCTCATGGCATGATCAGCTTACGTTCTTTAAGAACTCAGTACCACCAGGCCAAGGATGGCACCAGCCACAATGGGCTGCTCCCCTCCCCATCACTAATTAAGAAAATGCCCTGCAACTTATGGAAGCATCTTCTCAGTTGTGGTCCCCTCCTTTCAGATAACTCTAGTTTGTGTTAAGTTGACATAAAACTAACCAGCACCATTGTAAAGCTCTGAGCCCTGCCTATAGGATCTATAGCCTGACCCTCCATTCCTGCACAACACAGACACGCAGACGCTGACACCCAGGATTCGAGATCTAGATCCCACTTGTGCATCTATGGCTCCTGTTCTAAACTTTGGCATCCATTCAGTTCCCTTCTTTTGGTTCTGACACTTAGTTTTTCCTCGCTTTTTTTTTTTTGAGATTGGCTTTATGTCCAAGATGTTATAATTACTGATTTTATTTTATTTTATAGTTTTAGAATTATTTCTTTCCCCTGCTCCTGCTCTCTCTCTTTCTCTCTCTCTCTCTCTCTCTCTCTCTCTCTCTCTCTCTCTCTCTCTTATTTCCTTTCCTTTCTAGTATATATTCTCTACTGTTTGAAATTTGGACTTTCATATCTCCTTCCAGGTGTGTGCCAGACCTGGTTCCCCTCTTCCATTTTAAACATTATCGTCATGCAGTTCAGGCCCTTTGAGCCTATAACTTTCTAAATACCGCAAACTTAGGATGCACAAGGCACTGAGATCAGTCTCTGGCTCCAGGGATGGACACACACACACACACACACACACACACACACACACACACACACAATTTTATTTGTAAATACTCTTTCTTGCATTCCAGCTATCTTTGGGAGAGAGGAACTAGCTTTAAAATACCTTCCTGTGGGGCTAAAGAGATGGTTCAGCAGTTAGAAAAGCTTGGTGTTCTTCCAGAAGACCGGAG